TTCTTTTCGCTGATCTTGCTGTCGCCTGGTCTTCTCCCAGTTTGTTTAGGCAATATGCAAATTTCGCTGATCCTGCCTTCTTCAAGTCTCCTGTTCATTGCATTTCTCTCGGTCAGTGTATCGCTGGCCTCTCGGATCTTGCGTTTTCTCGTATTTTCACCATATCCAGCCAGGCTTTATGTCGATTTCGTGTCCCGTTCGTATGATGCGTTCTGCTATTTCGGATATTTCCGTATCAATGTTCCTACAGATTATTTGATGTTCCTACATCCGTAGGCCGTTTTTTCCTGTTGTTTCACCGATATACTTCTGCTCACAGTTGCCGCATTGGATGTGAAAATGTCTCGAACAATCCAGTTTGTCAGTCTTCTAGTGTTGCGTCTGCACAAACAGTGGTGAAAAGTGTTGTCATCTCCTTTCTTATCACCTTGATATTCCATTTGCTTAGTAATGGTTGCAATTTTCGGCTCACTTCAGATGAGGGCAGGCAAATCCACTTTTGGCCGTCCTCCTGATTCCTGATCCTATTTTCATTAAATCCGAGTTTAAATATGTCCTTTATGACCTCTAAATTATTTTATATAAATTATCTGGGGTACCGGTTACTAAGGCCAATCCGTGTCAGTTCGTCCAACTCCTTTTCCTATTTTTCAGTGTGTGTTAGGCATAAGCTTCTGATGATCAAACTCCTTAGAATTCCAATCTTCCATCTGCAGTTAGGGTGAGACATAAAATTGAGGATTATTATTAATTATATTAATTATATTATATTATATTATTATATTATATTAATTAATTAATTAATTAATTATATTAATTATTTCTGTATAGTCTCTTCATAAGTGTCTCAGTGGAGCGCATGACTTAAATATCCATTCCTTTCGTATGAAAGTGCATGAAGAAGCGATTCGTAGGTCAATCTCACCAGAAAAATACGGATGAATCACGTTGTACTGCAGGTTGATGTAGTCAGCGAGAACTCCTTTCTCGTTTCGGGTGAAAAGGAGCTGAGCTTTTGTCCATCATATGATGGACATCATCAGAGCTTGGTCTCATTCCTGTAAAAGTCTCACGTTGGCGCTAGGGCAAGAAGATTATCCGGTCTATCTTACCTCTTATATAAACTTACTGAAACCAAAATAACATTAAAAATCTAGAAGTTGTTTGACCTTGGTCATGTTGGTAGGAAGACTTAAAGAAACGCACCTAGTCCGGAGTCCATTG